TTCGATGTGTGTTTCGCACTGTGGACGCTAAGCAGGTGGTGCCAAGTGCAGTACTTTCGGAAAATCTCGGATTGTAGAACAACGCTAGCATCGCTAGGAGTCCCAAACACTTTCAGATGGGTACTGGAAAGAGAGGGAGGACTTTATTGACCAGTCCCAAACACTTTCAGATGGGTACTGGAAAGAGAGGGAGGACTTTATTGACCAGTAAGGACGATGGTTCAAGATAACTTGAGAAGTTATTCTGAATGGGAAGAGGAGGTAGGTTGGGTAGAGGTCTTAGGTCTAGATTAGGTTTGGTATGAATTTGTGTAGAGATTGTGGACCTGTCTGTGTGCCGCCCCGCCTCTTTCGTGTGCACTGCTCTGTGGGTGTGTCATGGGTGTGTCTGGGTACCGTAGTAGTTTCCCGGCGTCATGGTACACCGGCGAGAGTCCATAGTTACATTGTACGATCCTGGTTCCGGTCTGGCTCCGCTCTCGACAACCCCCTTGAGTAGTAGGAAGGGTTGGGTGTTAGGCATATGCTATTCCCAAGGGCGGGCCTCGAGTCCATTCTTAGGATGCTTTCGGGCTGGGCTTCATCCGGGTTGGTACCTGTCTGCGTTCCCATTGAGGGGGCCCATTGGGGCGTGAATCTGGGGAAGGTTATCTGGGTAAGGGTCTCATCTTCAGCAGGGGAGGAAGACACCCATAGAGTCTGCTAGATGTGATACAGGTGGAGAATGACAACATATCCATGACCCCTTCTGTGTCCGGGTCATAGACGAGAATTGGGGGTGCCCCTTTAGTAGCCCCGCGGGGGGGGACACTCATCTGAGACCCTCAGAAGGCAGGGGTTGGTGTAGGACTAGGTCTAGAGACGGGTACGGGTGGCACCGTAGGGCTCAGACTTGCGATCTGATTAAGAATAACAAAAACAAAAGGAGTTCACGAATCATGTCCCCTGGAGGAGACTCCTTGGCCCTTGGGGCTGTCATAAGCCATCTGATCTCCCCGCTGTTTTAGCACAAGGACAGGTACATCCCGAGACCCAGCATCCAGCCTCTACTGCGATCTGGACTTCATGAAAACAAAAGAAAAAAAAAGGGAGACAAAAGAGCATGAGCAGCAGCAGCAGCAACAACAGTCTGCAGAGGAGGAGTAAGTTCGAGTAACTCTCCGGAAAAGCTCCTCACATTTAACACGTTGCCGATCGAAGTGTCTGGAATGGAAGGGACATAGTCTTGCACACTGAACACACCAAACGGTTTCAAAATAAATAAAGCTAGGGGACAAGGGGCTCTTGAGTAGTCCATGGTGAAGTGCAGAACACAAAGCTCGGCACCGTGGCTATCTAGGCCCACTCTCAAGGAAAGAACACAGAGCAGAGGTCTGAAATGCTGATTGAACCCTCCGGCTTCCGCCCCTCTTTCAGATGCCAACCGAAGACGACAAGTCCGAGGCTGATTGACTTAAACAGAAAACTCCCCAAGCAGATACAAATGCTCGACAGGCTACCATAGTCCGATTGCCGGGCTCAAAAGCAAGCATTAAATTACCTTGCGAAAATAGCGGCCGCTTTGCAAATAAATAGCCCGGCACGCAAAGACATACAGACTCTATGTGGCACCCAAGGCCGCGGATCCTGCGGCCTAGGCCGTGTCCGCGCGGCCGTGCCACAGCCAGGCGGGGGCGCCCGCGGGAAAACGGCGCACGCGTGCCGCCTGCGCACGTACGCCTCTAACGGCCTGCACAGAAAAAAACATTTTTTTTGACAATTTGGGGGGTGATTTTTGGTAAGTAGCAAAAGTAATTAAAAAAATAGAAAAAAAAAAATCATTGATTGATTGTTTTTTTTTATTGATTTATTGATTGATTGATTGATTGGTGGGGGAGG